GACAATGTTAATGGAACTGGAGGACATTAAGTGAACTAATCCAGATATGGAAAGAAAAGTACATAATCTCTTTCATATAGAATCTCAAAAAAATTGGTCTGACAAGTTGAGAGTAGAATGATAGTTTCCAGAGGCTGGGGAGAATGGAGGTGAGGGAAGAATGGGGAATGGTTGCTTAATGGGTAGTAAGTTACACTTAGAAGACATCAGGTTATGGTGTTCTATTGCATAGTAGAATGATTACACATAATGGTAATTACTACATATTTTAAAAATGCTACAAAAAGGGATTTTGAATGTTTTTACCTCAAATAAATGGCAAATGTTTGAGATGAATAGGCTTAACCTGATTTGAACACCACAAAGTATATGGATGTATTGAATCATTACACGGTGCCCCAAAGTATGTATAATTTTTATGTGTCAATTAAAAAATAGAAAAAGGATGGGGTTTTTTATTTTTATTATTAGTTGTTCAAAACATTGTTCAATAGAGACTTTTCTTTTTTTAAATTTTTTTATTGTTGGTTATTCAAAACATTACAAATTTCTTGATATATCATATTTCGCACTTTGATTCAAGTGGGTTATGAACTCCCATTTTTACCCTATATACAGATTGCAGAATCACATCGGTTACACATCCATTGATTTACACATTGCCATACTAGTGTCTGTTGTGTTCTGCTGCCTTTCCTATCCTCTACTATCCCCCCTCCCCTCCCTTCCCCTCCCCTCTTCTCTCTCTACCCCCTCTACTGTCATTCATTTCTCCCCCTTGTATTATTTTTCCCTTTCCCCTCACTTCCTCTTGTATGTACTTTTGTATAACCCTGAGGGTCTCCTTCCATTTCCATGCAATTTCCCTTCTCTCTCCCTTTCCCTCCCACCTCTTATCCCTGTTTAATGTTAATCTTCCTCTCATGCTCTTCCTCCCTGCTCTGTTCTTAGTTGCTCTCCTTATATCAAAGAAGACATTTGGCATTTGTTTTTTAGGGATTGGCTAGCTTCACTTAGCATAATCTGTTCTAATGCCATCCATTTCCCTGCAAATGCCATTATTTTGACATTTTTTAGTGCAGAGTAATACTCCATTGTGTATAAATGCCACATTATTTTTATCCATTCGTCTATTGAAGGGCATCTAGGTTGGTTCCACAGTCTAGCTATTGTGAATTGTGCTGCTATGAACATAGATGTAGCAGTATCCCTATAGTATGCTCTTTTAAGGTCTTTAGGGACTAGTCTGAGAAGGGGAATAGCTGGGTCAAATGGTGGTTCCATTCCCAGCTTTCCAAGGAATCTCCATACTGCTTTCCAAATTGGCCGCACCAATTTGCAGTCCCACCAGCAATGTACAAGTGTACCCTTTTCCCCACATCCTCACCAGCACTTGTTTGACTTCATAATGGCTGCCAATCTTACTGGAGTGAGATGGTATCTTAGGGTGGTTTTGATTTGCATTTCTCTGACTGCTAGAGATGGTGAGCATTTTTTCATGTACTTGTTGATTGATTGTATGTCCTCCTCTGAGAAGTGTCTGTTCAGGTCCTTGGCCCATTTATTAATTGGGTTATTTGTTTTTTTATTGTTTAATTTTTTGAGTTCTTTGTATACTCTGGATATTAGGGCTCTATCTGAAGTGTGAGGAGTAAAGATTTGTTCCCAGGATGTAGGCTCCCTATTTACCTCTCTTATTGTTTCTTTTGCTGAGAAAAAAACTTTTTAGTTTGAGTAAGTCCCATTTGTTGATTCTCGTTATTTTAATTTGTTCTGTTTAGTTATACATGACAGTCCAATGTATTTTGGCAAATTATACATACATAGAGTATAACTTATTCTATTTAGGATCATCCCATTCTTGTGGTTATACATGATGTGGAGTTACCTTGGTTGTGTATTCAAATACAGGCTAGGAGAGTTATGTCCAATTAATTCTATTGTCCTTCCTATTCCTCTCCCTGCTCCCTTCCCTTTGTTTCTGTTTGTCTAATCCAGTGGATTTCTAGTTTTACTCTCCCCATCCTCCCTGTTTTTGGATTCTTGCATCGGCATACCAGAGAGAACATTTGGCTTTTGGTTTTGGGGGATTGACTTCTTTCACAAAGCATGATATTCTCCAGCTCCATCCATTTACTGGCAAATGCCATTATTTCATTCTCCTTTATGGCTGAGTACTATTTCATTGTGTATATATGCCACATTTTCTTTATCCATTCATCTGTTGAAGATCACCTAGGTTGTTTCCATAGCTTGGCTATTCTGAGTTGGGCTGCTATAAAGATTGATGTGACTGCATCACTGTAGTATGCTGTTTTTAAGACATTTGGGTATAGACTAAGGAGTGGGATAACTGAATCAAATGGTGGTTCCATTCCAAGTTTTGTGAGGAATCTCTATACTGCTTTCCATAGTGGTTGCACCAATTTCCAGTCCCACCAACAATGTATAAGAGTATCTTTCTCCCCACATCCTCACCAACATTTATTGTTACTTATATTCTTTTTTTTTTTTTTTTTTGTTTTGTTTTGTTTTGTTACTTATATTCTTGATAATTGCCATTTGAACTGGAGTGAGATGGAATCTCAGTTGTTTTAATTTGCATTTCTCTAATTGCTAGAGATGTTGAACATTTTTTTCATGTATTTGTTGACCATTCATATTTCTTCTTCTGTGAAGTGTCTGTTGAGTTCCTTTGCCCATTTAGTCATTGGGTTATTTGAGGATTTTTGTTTGTTTGTTTGTTTGTTTTGGTGTTGTTTGAGTTCTTTATAAATCCCGAAGATTAATGCTCTATCTGAGGTTCTGGTGGCAAAGATTTTCTCCCGTGCTGTAGACTCTCTCTTCATGTACTTGATTGTTTCATTTTCTATGAAGCCTTTCAGTTTGATACCATCCCATTAATTGATTCTTGATTTTACTTCTTGTGCTTTAGAAATCTTATTTAGGAAGGTGGTTCCTAAGCTGACATTATGGAGAGTTGGGCCTACTTTTTCTTCTAGTAAGTGCGGGTCTCTGTCTAATGGCTAAATCCTTGATCCACTTTGGAGTTTTGTGCAGGGTGAGATATAAGGGTTTAATTTCACTTTGCTACATATGGATTTCCAGTTTTCCCTGCACCATTTGTTGAAGAAGAAATGTTGGAAATTATATCTTTTCTCCAATGTGTGTCTTTGGTGCATTTGTCTAGTATGGGATAACTGTATTTATGTGGGTGTGTCTTTGTTTTGGTGCCAATACCAGGCTGTTTTTGTTGCTATAGCTCTGTAGTATAGTTTAAGGTCTGGTTTGTCAAATGCCTCCTGCTTCACTTTTTTCAATAAAGATTGCTTTGTCTATTTTTAGCCTTTTATTTAAAAAAAAGATGTTTTCTAAAATGTTTATCAAGCTCACATTTTGTTAAATTACCTGAACCAATTATATTTTGTACTTCATATTATAAGACTTTTTGATATTACTTTTCTGATCTTAAAAGTCCAAAACAACAATAACAGAATTCAAAATATTATTGGTTTTGTTTTACTACTTATTAAGGTAAATATTGGAAACTGCTTAAATATAGCTCATTGTCATATACTAGAATCCAGTAAACATATTATTATTTTACATTTATAAACCAAATTTTACCTATTTGTTTTATGTATATTGTTCAGTGTGAGGAAAACACAAATTATTTTTTTAAATCTCAGATAACTACATCATTGGAAATATGATATGAATTTTTATCCTGTTACAATTTATATTCAGTAAGTACTAAAATGTCTTGGTTCTTGCCACATTGTTTTTTTTCTACAAAACTTCTTTCAGTTACATGTATTTCTTATATCTTTTTTTATATGTTTATATAAGAGAAGATTATGCAGTTATAAGTTCAGTATAAATTTTCCTAATCTATTGAAATAAACTTGTTATTACCCCTTACTGACTACCTGTGCTCTGCCAGTAGAGGGGATCATTCAACACGTACCTGAACCAGTCAACTTATGAATTCTAGTGAAAATATATTCCATTAAAGCCTTCTAGAACATTAATCTGGGACTCAAATGGATGAACATAGATTTTGGTGAACTTTAATGTCCCTTTCTTCCTTGTTAGAAGAATGGGACATTAAAGTTCACCAAAACTTTAATGAAGTTAAAGTTCATTATAATTTATATTTTTAAATGTTTTGTAAGGCGATTGGTTAATTTTTAAAAATAAAATTTAAATACCCTTATTTTATTTGTTTTTATGTGGTGCTCAGGATCAAACCCAGTACCTCACATTTGTGAAATGAGCACTCTGCCTCTGAGCTACAATCCGAGCCCCTATGATTCATCTTTTACATATTAAAACGTTCAAAATCAGACAGATTCTAATTTTTTATTCTTTCCTTCTTTTGGTTGGATCTTCAATTTTAACTTTCCAGTTTTCAAAAACCCTTGCTCACATTGATCCTATTAGAGTGGCTTTAGATTAATTTACATGTTTCCTAACCTGATTTGGAATAAAAAGAATTTGGACTTTGGACTCAAGAATATTGCAAGACCATACTGCCAAGATTATTTGCAGCATTTAATTGAGATTTTTAATTTTTGTTTTATTTTCAGAATAAGGATATACTTACTACTCTTTAGACTAGCCTTACTCTGTTATATGATTGTTTTTCTTGTGTTTCTTTACTTATCCATATTAATTACATGTTTTCATTGTTTAGATTTTTTTCATGTTTATTTATATTGTTTACTTATATTATATTTAAATATAAAGTGTCTGAAGAATTCTGTTATTTTTGTTTTAGTGAAACTTACGAGATCAATGTGGTTGTTCAAAGTCTCAGACAAGTATTTTCCTTCTATGATTCATCTTGGTAGCTTTTTAAAAATACTTTGAATTTGAAGGTTTTCTGATAAAAAAAAAAGTGCATCTATTTTTTTAAAAAATTAATGACAACTTTTTGATATGTAATTCATATGCCTTAAAATTTACAATTTTAACATGTACAATTTATTGCTTTTTAGGATAATGAATGAACAAGTGGAATGAATGGGTAACTCTCTTTTTTTCTCTCTTTTTTAGTATATTTGTCAACATTTCTTAAGATGCAAATCCTAAGATTTTTTAAAAAATGTTATTATTTATTGAGTAAATGTTGGAAATTATATCATTAAAAATTATAGCATTTCTGTAGACTAATATTTACTATACACAGTAAAGACATTTAAACTTTTGTCACCTTTAGTAAGTGGCCATCTTTTTAAAATATGAAGAAAGAGTATGACTTGCCAACAAAAAATAGGAAAGTAGGATTTTTAAGCAGTATTTGAGGGCTCAGGATGTAGCTCCATGATACAATATGTGCTTAGTATGTATGAGGCTCTGAGTTCAATCCCCAGCACCAATACATAAATAATTTTCATAATCATTACTATTGATATTATTTATAATTTTATAATAATATAATAATTTTAATTGTTACTATTATTAAAATTATTATTATTTGTTTTTATTATTTTTACTTTGCTATTTTTTATTTGTTCTAATTAGTTATACATGATAGCAGAATACATTTCAATTCATGATATACAAATGGAGTACAACTTTTCATTTCTCTGGTTGTACACGATGTAGTTGCACCACATGCGCAGTCATACAAGTACATCTCATTCCACCATCATTCCTGCCCCCATGCCTCCTCCCTTTTCCCCCTTCTTCTTCGCCCAATCAAATTCTTCCATTCTCCCCATGCTCCCACCCCCTATATGGATCTGGATCTACTTATCAGAGAGAACATTTGGCCTTTGGTTTGGGGGGATTGGCTCACTTCACTTAGCAGGACATTCTCCAGCTCCATCCGTTTTACTTGCAAATGACATAATTTTATTCTCTTTTAATGCTGAGTAATGTTCAATTGTGTATATGTATCACAGGTTCTTTATCCATTCGTCTACTAAAGGGCATCTAGGTTGTTTCCACAGTTTAGCTATTGTGAATTGAGCTGCCATGAGCATTGATGTGGCTGTGTCACTATAGTATGCCGATTTTAATAAAAAGTAAACAGTATTTGGCTTTGAGGAAAAATGAGTAGTTAAATGAATATTTAAATGAACATTGAAAAGCACATCTAAGTTACAAATAAAAATCCAGTACAAATCAGCTTTTTTCATGTGATCTTTTTGAGTTCTTTATTTTATGCTTTCTAAATCAACTGGTTTCAATTTTGAAATAAGAAAATTTTAGATATAATCATCATATTCTTTTCGGTTCACACTTTAAAAATATTTAATACTTCTAGAATTAGGTAAGTGCATTTATACTTCTATAAATGTGGTGATAGTCATTTTGAGGTAAATTTAGAGATTTTTTAATAGACTTCATTATTGTATGTCATCGACAGTTTTATGATGTGTATTCTAAGTAGCATCTTATTTGACAGTAAATTTTAAAATGTAGAACTGAGAGTTAATAACAACAATAAAAATACCATGGCATCTAAGAGGACTTTCAAATGATCTGAGTAGCTAAGATATAAGTATGTTTCTCATGCCCCAAGGAGAGTTATTCACTCATATGCCTTATTCCTCCCAAATCATTCAATTTTCAGTGGAAGAGATATTTATATAACCATGTAGTTACTGATTTTTGTAAAGTATAAATATATGCAGATGTCATTATTAATTTCAACATGTGCCATTTGACCTTCTAGATCAGAGATCTGCAAACTTTTTCTATGAAAGGCCAAATATTAGATATGTAGGCTTTTAGGGCCAGAGGTCTCTGTGTAGCTACTCAACTCTGCTGTTGTGGTATAAAAGCAGCCACAGGCAATACATAAACAAATAAGTGTGACTGTGTTCCAGCTTTATTTATGGATATTGAAATTTGAATTTCATATACTCTTTTAGGTGTCATGAAATATTTTTCTTCTTCTGACATTTTTTGAGTCATTTAAAGATGTAAAATCCATTCTTGGCTCAAAAGTATACAAAAACAGGTGGCAGACTGGATTTAATTCTGTAGGCTGAAGTTTGCCAACTTTTTGCTCTAGGTGGTTAAATCCACTGGTTGGAAAAATATGTTTTAGCAATACGTCTTAAATTCTTCCACTACCACGTGTGCCACACCATCCCAAAGTTCTTACCCATCTTAGCTTATGCCTGATAACAAAGGATGTTCAATTTGTAGCTTCTGTGTGACTCTAGTAAAAAATAAATAAATAAATAACAATAATTTTAATAATAACTCACAAGTAGTTCACAGAAGTAAATAAAATTTCAGCGCTGCCTACTGTGAAGCTATTTGTCTCTGGTTGGGATGATGTGGCATGATAACTCAGAAGTAAAACTGGGAAATGTGGAGACTGAGCTGTAGCTCTGGTTCTATCATTATCCATTCAAAGTGGTCATGTTTCTCAAACTTCCAAAGCACCAATGCTTCACCTACTGGTGGTGAAGGAGTATTAGGAAGTTATATGGTTATTAAAATAGTAAATATGAAATCACTTCTTTATTGTCATTGTGGTGGTCATTGCACTTTATTATTATGTGTTATATATTACTCTTGAAGACCAGATATAAATTGCACATAAATTTTCTCTATATTTCTGGCTTCGTTACCCTCAGATTTTGAGCAACTCTTATCTTCTCACTGTGGATTATACCCAGTGTATTACTAATAATACTATGAAATTGCTAAATTACATTGTATATATTCTTTCTTAACACTGCTCTATGAAGGCAGTGACTTTGTTTTGTCCCTGCTATATCCCCACACCCCAAAGCACTGTCTGGAATATGTTTGGGTCTCTTAAATCGTTTCTGAGTAAATGAGTGGCACAAATAATCTCATATGTTCCCTTACTTTGCATTATCAAATGGAGTATATAAAGCTCATTATAAATAAAATGACTTAAATGCGTAAAGCAAATACATAGGACTTCAAAGGAAATCTATTTTATCTAACTTTACTGAAATATAGTTCTACCCACAAATCCTTTAAAGGTCCATGAACACTTTTTTTTAAATAAAGACAATATAGGCAAGGGACACAGATAGTTATAATTTGCAAAACTGTTTTGATGGGCTATATAATAAATGCAAGCTTTATTTGGTCTCTTAAAATACTCCTTCCTCTGTATTTTTAAATAATATAAAAACAATGGAATTTCCGCCCTACTTTGGTAAAATTTCTTGTGATTACAAGAAAAACAAATTTTAGTATACAAAAAGAGTAGTTTCTGGGAAGACACTGGAGATCTTACGTAATTCATAGGTGAGAATAAAAAGAACAAAAGCTACTCTGGGAACATCAGCTTTCTCCAGAGTAGAGCCTTAGATGGGAGTTTCCATCGTGCATACAAGTTTTAAAATACTAGGAGAAACCTGGCTAATGCAGCATGGATCACAGATGAATGCCTGTATTGGTTAGCCAGAGCCAAGAGTAGAATCATGTAGTAGAGCTGTTAGCACTTTGGGCCACTGTTTAGTATAAGGGTGAGCTGGAATGACCCTAAGAGATGTCTATTATATAGATATATTAATATGACTGCAGAAAATGGTGTTTATTTTATACTTATTAACTTCTCAAGTTAAAAAAAGTTTTACTCCAAACTGGAAGACAACTTGGTTCATTAATAATTACATCAACTATAATTATAATTTTAAATATCTACCAGACTACCAACTGGCATATTGTTAATTAGTTTAATATAATATAATGTAGCCAGTATAATGTAGTAGCAATATTGATAAGTGTTAAGAGAACAAGTTCTTGAGATGGACTGGTATAGCTCATTTCCCATTTCTACCATTTAACTATTTGTGGAAGTCTATTCAAATTACTCAATCTCTATCACTCATTTTTATTAACTATAAAAAGGAAGGGAACTGCTACAAAACAACAAGCCAAAATATCAGTGGCATGCCACAATAAGCATTTAATCCTTGCTCAGGCATTTGGCTATAAGATGGAGTAGGTCTGATCCAGACTGGTCTCAGCTGAACTTGGTTTCACATTGAATATGGGTCTAGATATGTACTACATTTCTCTCATCTTCCTTAGACCAGCAGATACTTGAGACATTTTTTTTATCAAAATGAAAAGGCAGGATTACAAGGGAATGGGCTCAATGCTCAAGTATATTTCAGGACTCTTCTTTTGTGATGTCTGCTATTATTCTGTTTGCCAAAGAAGTCACATTGCCAAGCCAAGTCAAAGCACAAAGAGACATAGACTTTCTATGGAGGTATTATGAAGGAAGAGAAATCTAACATCACAAGCTAATTACAGTCTTTTTAAAAATGCCACTTAGAATGAAAATATGTGTTGCTGTGGGGATAGTAACATGTTTGATTTCAGGGTGTTGTCCCAGACTTCTTGGATGATGGGACATGTTACATAATTATATAATTATAATTACATAATTATAATTATCTTTAAAAACTCCAAAAATGCTTAATTCCAAAACACATCTGGCCTCCAAGAGACCATGGGACTGTATACTATCCAGGAATTATAAATACTATGAATGAAAATGAAGCATGTATAGATACAGAGATGAGGGCTGGTGGGGAAGAAGATAAGGGTTGAAGTGAGGGAGGGTAGGTAGCTAGAAGCCTCTCTGGGAGGTAACATTTGAGCTAATTTCAGAAGCTTGCCACGGATCTCTCAAAGAAAAGTAATGTTTTGGTCACTGGGAAAGATGTGACTTTCTGGGGAAGTGTTCAATTCTGAGAGAAGACAAAGTTCAAAGACCTAAACCAAGAGTGTGCTTAACATGTTTAAGAAGAATATGAGGACTTCTAAGGCTGTGATACCAAACAATGAGAAGAGTGATTTAATAGGTTGTCAGAGAGAAAACAAGAGTTCAATCATCTCAGGCAAGGGTAAGGCCTTTGGATCTTATCATAAATGTTTATGAAGTCTTTCAGGGAGTTGGAATAAGGGAGTGCCTTCAATATAATTTTCTTTTAAAGACTATCTGTTGCTCCATAGATAATAATAACATATCATTCTTTGCTCTGTGTATAATGGATTATTGCAGTGGTAAGAACTGGGAAAAATGAATGATCATTAGTCTGCATGAAATTCAAAAAGTTAATGGTGCTGTTCATAAGATACTTTTTATTGATGTCCTTAAATACAAATCTTGAAAAATACACAATAACAAGCTGTCTGTTCAACATTGGTAAATTTATGAGCAAGAGCTGTGCTATGAATTAGTAATCTAAATATTATTATACTATCATGTTTATTTTTTCTTGTTCTAAATTTTTCTCCAAGCATTAGGGCTTAGAAATTAGCAGTCATGACAATGCTCTTCCCAATCTCCCTCATTCTTCCCAAAGATGCTTCTCTTTTCCCTGCTGAGAGACAGCTAGGGGAAAGATCCCTTATCTTCAAATGGTAGAAGTAGTTTCTCAGGCTGGCTCTGCCACTAACTCACTGTAACATTGGGTGAGTTATTTGACATCTCTGAATTTCAGTTTCCTTTAAGGGTAAAATATGAGAATTAAATCACCTGATTTATATAGCTCTTTTTTTTTTTAACCTATAGTCATAGTTTAGTAAGTCATTTGTATTGGAAACTAACATGATTCTAAGTGAGACTTTACAAAAATCTCAAATTTGGGGGCTGGTGATGTAGCTGAATGGTAGAGCTCATGCCTAGCAGGCTCAAGACCCTGAGTTCAATCCCCAGACCTGGGACAGTGGGGGAAGACCTCAGATTTTCCTTAAGTATGAATCTTAAAAAATACACAATAACAAGCACTCTGTTCAACATTGGTAAATTTATGCTTGTTTCCTTTATAACAGGACCAACAAAATAAATTCCAGAAACCAGGAGCACAGAATATTTTTCTTCATCAATCCATAGAACTCTGATACTTCTCTAATTCCATCAATCACAGGAATGACCCCCTTGGCAGATGGCCGCAGAGGATGTCAACAATTTTTTGGAGGCAAGCAATGAACTATTTGTGCCATTGGTTTTCTGTTATTAATTATATGAGAACAAGTAGAATTACCTTGTGTTTTAATGGGGGGAAAAAGTTGTCTTTATCATAGAATTTTATATAAGCATAACTATTTCTTCTTTTTTTTCCTTTTTCTTTTTTTCTGTTTAGAACTGTTGCATGTCAAAAATTCTAATAAGATGTGTTTTCCCTTACCTGCAGTATTATACAGAATAAGGCAACATTAAATTCCTAAGTACAAAATTCAGATTTAAATAACAGAAGTTATTTGAAAAGAGGGCTCTTTGTATCTACCTTGGATACATATATCATGTAACTGCAAGCACTAAATATATTTTGAGATTAATTTCTACTTACTTTAGAATTATCCCGGTCGTTTGTGAATTTTTTTCTTTTTAGTTTAAATAATTCTGCATCTTTTCCTTCCTTATATTTATTCTAAAGTGATCCAAAATCTTGGGAAGCCATCCTTTTATGTCCCTCACAGATTTATATTTGTAAGAATTCTGCATTAAAAGATTTCACTGACCTTTTATTTAATTTCATGGCAGCCACTATTGCTTCTGGAAGAGTAGTTGGGCAAGGATTATGGACCACAATACCATCATCAAAATTGAAATTAATTACATTACCCTTTAAAGGAAAAATCTGCTTAGAAAGAAATTGACCATGCTTAAGAGGAAAAAAAAATATGTGTGTGTGTGTGTAATCTGCAATCTCCATATTCATGAAAAATAGACATAAGTTGATGAAGATAAAATGAAATAAAAATAAATTCTAAAAATTTAACTATAAATACTCTAAAATTGAATTTGTCAACGAATTTTATACAACCACAAAAACTGTAGATATACTCAGAACGTTTTACATAGTGTTATTTCAACCTATAGGTCTAAAGTTATCTAGTAAATGTGTCTCTTTTTAAGTTGTACATAAAGGAATGCTTTCTGTAAGTAAAGGAGACCATAAATGTTTAAAAAGTCCAGTGAAAGCTTCAGAGTTTTCTTCTGTAACTAGAATCAAAATTAATTCTTGCTTTTCTGTTGGGGGAAATTTCATCTAATTACATTCAATTTATTCTGCAACTTTTTGGACAGCAAATCCTGATTACAAAGAAAAAACAGCTGTGTTGCCCTTGCCTCACAGTTATAACAATAGTATTATTAGGCAGTCACTGGGCCTTAAAAAATCATGAAGTGGTCATCCACTGGCTTCCTTCTGGCAGAGACACACCTGATCCTTTCTGAACTGCTGATGATATATGCCTTCCATTTGTAAGGATCTTCAATAAAACAGATTCTACTGCTTCCTTCAGCAATCCAATTTAGTGTAAAAACTCTCAAGAATAGGAGATTCTTTCTTTTAACCTTTTATCTACTTTCATTAAGTAACTATTTCTAAAACTTCTTTTCTCAGAATTATCCTAGTTTGATATAACCACTTAAAATTTTTTTCACTTAAATATTTTTTAAAATACTAAAATTTGACCTTTTTTTTAGTTGTCAATGGACAGAATACCTTTATTTTATTTTTATGTGGTGCTGAGGATCCTTCCCAATGCCTCACACATGCCAGGCGAGCATTCTTACCACTGAGCAATAGGCCCAACCCAATCATTCTTAATTAATAGATATTATTCCTATAAACCATGATTCTCTATAAACAACCCACTATCAAATATCTTTCTGTAACATTTTCATATTTAATTCATCCACATATCATCTCATTTTAAGTTTTAGTTATTCTTTAGCCATTGCAGCTTATCTGTGTAAGATAGCTTTAAATTCTATTTCTTGCACATTATTAAGAATCCACCCCTTTGTTTATTAACTTCATTCTATTTATGACCATGTCATTAATAAAGCACAGATACTTATAATTCTGATCCAAAGTGCTATCTTATTTATTTCCCATAAATTCTAAAATTATTTTCAGGCTATAATAATAAAAACTTAGAAATTAGAAAAGCAATTATAATATCACAGTTATGATTTATAAACCTGCAATCGAAGAACATGAATTCACAGAACAGATTAAGGCTGACTGACCAACTATGCGATTCACCAGCTGTATGACCTTGCTTAAATTATTGACTCTCTTTGACCCCCAGTTTGTATATCTTTAAATATTGGATGCTAATAATAATGTAATGTTGAGTATTAAATAGGATAGTTAATATTCAGGTACCTAGCACTTGCCTAACATGTAATTCAATAAATAGGTGATATCATTATTCTACTTTTGAAAATGTTAAAAATAGGTTTCCTCATAGTAATCTCAACTCATAGTAATCTCAACTTTTATAAAAGAATAATGAATTTGTCCATTATGCATGCCAGATTCCTCTCTCTCTCTTTCTCTACACACACACACACACACACACACACACTTATTGTCCTGCTGCTAAATTTTATTCACATCAAAGTCTCCCAATAAGAACTTCATATTTTAAAATATGTAAGTGTGGGTCTGGGGATGTAGCTCAGTGGTAGAACTCTTGCCTAAAACGTGTGAGGCACTGGGTTTGATGCTCAGCACCACATAAAAATAAATAAATAAAATAAAGATATTATGTCTATGTACAACTAAAAATTTTTAAAAAAAATGTAAATGTTCTGGGCACAGTATCACACTCCTGTAATCCCAGCAACTCAGGAGGCTGAGGCAGGAGAATTACAATTTCAAGACCAGCCTCAGCAACTCAGCAAGACCCTGTCTCCAAATTAAAAAAAAAAAAAAAAAAAAATGGTCTGGGGATGTAGCTGATTTGTAAAGCATCCCTGGGTTCAGTCTCCAGTACCAAAAAAATTAAAATATAAGTGTACAAATGCATTTTATCCAGAAATCAGCATTAGAAAACATAACAGGCCGTATGGCACATGCCTCTAATTCCAGCTACTAGAGAAATTGAGGCAGGAGGATTACAAGTTGGAAGACAGCCTGGGCAATTTAGCAAGATTCTCTGTCTTGTCATAAAATTTTAACAAGGGCTGAAACAGGAGCTTACTGATATCGTATTTGCCTATTAAGGCCCTAAGTTGTGTCCCCAGCACCACACACGCACACACTGGTCATTCTTAAACTAAGCCTCATGAAAACTAAATACATTTCAAATTTTGCAAGAAATTTTAGGTGTTTATGAGCTCACTGAAATTTTAACTTTATGTTGACCATAACTATTTGGAGAAATACTCTATTTATAGGGCAGAATGATTTGAAGAATCTTCTTCAGTAATTTGTTTTATTTATATATATATATATACATATATACATACATATACATATACATATATATATTAATCAGATGTTTATTTAATCTGAGTAACTGATTTGATTTGACAGTTTTGATCTATTGATTTCTTTGGTCACTTTAGCAAATTACCACAAACTTGGTGACTTCAATTAACAAAAATTATTCTCTCATGGAGTCTACAAGTCCAAAATTAAGTTATCAATTAAACCATATTGTTTGAAACCAGGAGAGAATAATTTTGTTCCATGTCTTTGACTTGGCTTCTGGAGTTGGCAGGGCTTGGCGTTCCATTTCTGTTGTCTCTGCCTTCATCATCACATAGCTTCTCCCTGTGTATCTATGACTCTTTTCCTCTTCTTATAAGTACACAGTCACATTGAATTAAGGCTCACCCTTATTCAGTATGACTTCATCGTAACTTGATTACATTGGCAAATATTGTTCAGTGTTTCCAAATAAGTTCACATTCATGAATACTGGGACTTAGGACTTGAACATACCTTTTGGGGTAACATAATTCAACTCATAACGCTATCTTATATATATTTTCTCAATTTTAATTTCAAATAGGTTTAAGGAGGAAAACTGAATTTTAAAAAAGAAATTTACTTCTGAATATTCAGTTTAGCCTCTAGAAGAAAGAGGCTGTTTCATTTATGAGACAACATGGTTCATGGGTAAATATACTTGTTTTGCTTATGAATATTTTTAGCACCATTTATTAAGCATGGTTTTTTAATAATTCCTATCTAAACACTATAACTCTATTTTGTGTAATTATAAAGCCGCAGTATCTTTTTTTGTTTACCTGATAAAGAGTTCAAATAATAGACTTACAGAGATTTATGATCAAAGGCTAGCTATTACATATATAAAAAATGAGTTTCCTTAAAGACTTTAGAGAGAATACAGCATTTATATTTACAATTTTACTCATAGTTACATGTTGTAAGTGAACAAAGGTTACACTTCCTTTGCTATAAACCAGGGCTACTTTTTGTTTTCATGAGTAAAAATTTCACTTTAACTTGAAATTGAGAAAAATTGTTGACGTTTCAAAATGAACAACTTTGTTAAGTAGTTTCAACATTAATTCTACTGCATATTCTAGTAAAGATCATTCAACTGAAGTTTTTTTTTTTCTAATATCTAACTCAATATGTGATATATAGGTCATTAGTACATTGTATCATTGTATATTATTTTTGGTCATATCTCATATAATTAGACAATTGTCACAGTTATTTAAGGCCATAAAACTTACACAGGGTGTACACCCTTATTTCATCAATTTAAGAAAAGGATTTTATGTGCATTGTCTTTTCTTTGAGCTTCTGAAAGGAAAGGTATATAAAGCATTCTTGGATGAAATACATAAAATTTCTCAAACATACTTCTGTCACACAGGTAATACTTGTTTCAAAATACTCTTTGCATATAGTAAGTACTTAATAAATGCTTATGAATCAAAAGAAGGATATTATAATCAGCCCATTTGCTTGTAAACAGCATCCGAAAGGAGAACTCAAATAAGGCAATTCATTCATAAACCTTTCAGGTTAAATATTTTTTCCTAAATTTGGTATAAAAAAACGGACAAGAACTAGAGAGCTTGCAGTTCTGGATAGTGGACATATCCTTTTTTATTTCCTAAAACTTTCCTAAAGTACTAGTAACCTGTAGGACTTTGCCGAGGGTTGAAATTTGCAGGGAGTGGGTAGGAGCCTATAGAATGCATCATTGAATGATTCGTTGACCGTGTATTTCAGGAATACATAGTCAATACATAAGAAATATGAACTTAAGG